GGGGAGGGCCGGGCGGGGCTGGCGCGTGCTCCCCAGGCCTGAGAAGACACCTGGGGCTGGCAAGGCTGGGGAGGCTCCGTGGCAGCCCCCTAGGGATCACAGAAGTTGGGGGAAGTCTGGAGTGGAGCACACCTAGAAGGTTAGCATCAGGCCTTCAGAGGACTGAGGGAGGGTGGGAGCCTCCCTAGACCTGCCTCCTACCACATCCCCACCCCCTGACCAGCACTTCCTTCATAGATTTGGCTTCTTCTTTTAGCATTGCAAAAGAACCTCCCTGTGGTCAGTGTCCAGATGGCCTTAAGACCTTCAACCCCCATCTCACACTGAGAAGTGTGGTCCTCACTTGGCAGTGGCCTCCTTTCTCCCCCCTCAACTCTCTGCCTTGCTACTCTCTTGACATCTGTCTCTCTCTCTCGGCCTTCCATTTGCTTCCACTTTCCTCCATCCCAGTTCTCTTTTTCTCTCCTATTTCTGGTTTTCTGAGTGTCACCCAGTCTCTCTCTGCCTCTCACCCCAGGGAAAGAGGCTGCCTGGGACCAGAGGAATAGCAGGCATGAGTCTCCCCAGTAACGTTTCAGAGCGGACTCTCAGAGAGGACAAAGTGGGAGACATTGGAGGTCGTGTGTCCTTTGCCCCCAGCTCTAGCACTAGGAGCCCCCAGCTGCTCATGTTCTCTCCTTGCCTGGCAGGGCCTCCCCTGCTGTCCCTTCACTCCAGGCCTCCCTCGGTGCATGGCCTTTCTGGGGTTCAGAGATGAAGGTGGCCTGACAGTCCTACCTACCCAGACAGCAGGCCTTCTGCAGACCCACCGTGAGCCCTGAACGTGAGACTGGATCTGCAGGGTCCTGTCTGTCCTCACCATCCTGCAGAGGAGGAGACCAAGGCTCAGAGAAGCTGGGTGCAGGTGACTCCTGGGTGTCAGGTCTGTCAGGTCCAGGATTGCAACTCCAGCCCTGCTGGGTCCATTGAGTTTCCTCCTGTGGTGGTTGCTTCAGGCTGGCTGTGAGGCAGAATCTCTGGGCCTCAACTTTCAGGTGCCAAAGCTCTGGAGAGGGTGGGCCACAGGAGGCTGTATCTTCATAAAGCACTTAAGTGACTCCATGCACAGCTGAGTCCCCTGTCTAATCTAGAAGTGTCCTTGGGCAGAGGGGGAAATGGAGGATGAGAGTCACAAAGGTCACCTGCCATGGAGGACACTGTCAGCCTGGGACAGGTGTGAGCGGGTAAGAAGTTGGAGGCAGGGAGCTTCGGTGACACACTGGGCTGACTCCACAGGAGTGTGACATGGTCTTGCTAAGGAGACTGAGGGGACAGGAAGACATGATTTCACCAGAGGAAGTGGCTTCAGTTTTGCTGAGGTGGAAGCAGGCAGAGGCGGACTTCCCTTCTTTTCT